GTGTGTGTGTGTGTGTGTGTGTGTGTGTGTGTGTGTGTGTGTGTGTGTGCGCGCGCATGTCTGCATCTGAGTGAAAAAAAGTCTCACAACCATCTGCAACTCGGTAAATTTAATTTAAAGAGCCGTTCAAAAGAATTGGATCAATAATGAGCATTTGTAGTATCCAGTGGAAATAAGATGCAAAGATTTCTGATTCTGTTTTTATTTTATTTTTTGTAAATATGGAGATCATATTTGAGTTTCTTTGTTGAAGTTGTTTTTTTTCTGACAATAAGGGACACCCTTTTCATTCACAGCATGATTTACTTTGTAGTTCTATTTTACTGTATATACGGTAAATTGTTTTGTTTTTATGAATGAAATAAATTGAAAAAAAATTACATCTCAACATGCGTCACTTCTGGTGTCACTCACCTCAATTGTTTCTGTCTTATAGGCTAGCTGGCGTTCCAACTCTAGGATCTGATTGGTTGAGGTCTCTTGAACTTCCTGCAGTGTGAACTGCAGCCGCTGAATGTTTTCAAGGAGGTGGAGGATCTCTCTGTCTTTAGCCAACAAGGTGGCCTCCAGCTGGGCAGGCAGCAGGTCACCCTTCTCATTTTTCTCCTGAAGGATGATTAGTTAAAAAAAAACATTGAGAGAGAAATAAACAGAGAACATGATGAAAGATACAACACAAAAAACACAAATTAAATTATTTCTTTTTTTTAATACAGATAAAACCCACTGAGACTAACATTTCATTTGCAAGGAGACAAGTTTTAGTAATAGAGGTGAATGGATATTATTTAACCAATAACAATGAAAATGTTGTAACAACTCGTAATAAAATAAACCTGCAGTTTTAGTTGTCAATGAATGTATCATGTTTTCTGACGGCTCTCTGGATTTATTCCTGTAGACTAACGGTTAAAATAATGAGCAGCAGAAAGAAAATTTGGAGTGAATGAGTAAATTGTAAGGGACTGGTGAAAAGCAGAGGTTATCTTACTGCAATGAAGAAAATGAAGAAAACTAATCGCGTGATGTGGAATGAGATTGATGGATTTATCGGTAACTTGCTTGCTGGAATGCATCGGGACTGCCTTGTTTATTTTGTTTGCACTGAGCAGAGAGCTACTTCGCTGTAGGCGCCGGCAGGATCAAAATATTTCAAACGCGCAAATCTTATTCTGTTTACGTTTCATTTGCGACACAATAACAATGGACTACACCAAATCTGAAGGAAAAACATAGAAGACTGTACTGGATGCTAATGATGAGAGGGCAGGACGACAGAGGACGGTAAGCTAATAATACTAGCTAACGCTAGCTTGTTTTTGGTACTTTAACTTGTTTTTACATAATTTGGATGTTGTTTAGTTGAACTTGTGTGTAAAAAAATGATACAGTTGTTGCAAAAAATTCACATAAAGTTACTCTCTGTGTCATCCGTCTGTGTTAATTAAAGCTTTTCAGCATCCCAGGAAGCAGTTGTGCAGCTGTATGTGGTTATTCCAGATTAAATGTCTGTTCTGCAACTTATACCTGACGCTTTTTTTGACTGATGCAACTTATAGTCCAGAAAATAGGTGAGTAAAAAGTACTTAATCACACAGCACGGCTGCAGCCCCGGTGATCTCATTAAAAAAAGGGAGTTGTCACTTTCTTCTTACCCTGGTGGAGCCCTCTGCTGGATGGCAGCTCCCTGTGGTGGCGCTCGAACCGCTGGATAACTGCTCCTTTAGCCGCTCCACTTCCCTCTGAGCCATTTCCGCTCTCTGTGCACAGAAATGGCATCACCGCTTTCATACGCCAGGCCACATCAATTGGCTAATGAGATGATCAAGGCGAGAGCACGTACATAAATCAAAGGAGGCACCCTTGTACAGAAATTTAAAGCCGAGTGAGAGCGTGAGCCGGGGGCTCGGGCAGACGAGCTCAGCCACCGGTTCATTCTGCTGAGGGGGCTGTTTAGTCAGCCCACTTTATTCCCCAAACTGTTTACCTGTGCTGTCACACCCGGCCTGCTAATTAATGATTCATTCTCAGAACATTTATCTGGGAGCTGCTGGCACAGAGCAGCAGAGTGAGCAGCGAGAGCAAAGAGGAGGAGAACAAGGCCAAGAGAAAAACAAGTTTCACCCAAACAGAAAGCAATCAAGGTGACGTGCTAACCCAGAACCCCGGCGTTCACTCGCAGGTCTCCTGCTCTGTGCCGAGCGCAGCAGTGCTGCCGCAGGGTGCCCACCGACAGGGGCTTCAGTTTACACTCACAAATCACACAATCGGGAGGTGGGAGGAAGAGGACCAGAACTGAGGGTGTCTAATTGAAGCCAGGGCTTGATTACAGGAGTGATTAGCTAAACGAAGCTTCTCAATCAGAAAAATGTACAGAGACACTGTACTCACCTGATTTGCTTTCTCTAAATTCACCATGATGGTTTCAACTTCCGCCGCCCTGCAACACACACACACACACACACACACACACACACACACAC